TGCTTTATTGATTTCAATTTCTTGAAGTTTACTAACCTGTGTATTGTTTTAATAGCAAGAATGCCGAGGCATCAAAGTAAGTAATTTAATTACTTAATTATTCTTTTGATTTTGAATAGAAATCATGCTTAGAATATGTTGATTTCGTTATTAGAATCATGTTTAGGATAACATGTTTGATTTTGATTTCTAGTATCATGTTTAGGATAACGCTTTGATTTTGTATTAGTGACATTCTAGGATTGTTATTTATCTGTTTAGTATCATGCATGCCTAGGACCTTACTACTAGCGACGTTTTGATGATGATGATTGTTATATTAATCATATGTTGCTTGATTATTCATGATTTATTGCTATTGCTTGATCACGCCCCTTTTTGCAGGTTTAAAGGGAATTTGTACTTGAAATCACGCCTAATAAGATAATTAATAATTGAATTAGGTTCAATATGATTTTAATTCAAGTGATCACCAATATTAGATTTGATTGTGCATTAATAATCAACCAACGTAGATTAAACAGGTTTAGGATTAAATTGATATATGTATGTTGATCGAAGAGCGCGCATGAATATCAAAAGACTTAAGTAGAGGCCTATTTAGGGCGGGGTTGGCTTCTCTTAGGTCAAATTCGTACCATCATCCCCGAACATTCATTCATGGTTCTGGACCACTATGGAGTTGGCAATCTCTGTGATTGTGAATGGGGTGTAACCTTCATAATCATGAATGGTTTACAAGTTCCTAAAACTTGTTGGCGACTCTTTTTCTCTAGCTTCTTTTCCTTGGAGCGCCGTCATGTTTAAAAACATGACCCAAAATAGGGCGAAGAGTTGAAAAATTCCCTACAACTCCCAAACATGATACTAATTTAATAATTTATAATAACAATCCCTAAATGTGGCACTAATAATTAAAAATAACGATCCCTAAACATGATGCTAGCAAGAATAAATATTGTAAAATTAATTAAACGAAGGAATAATTAAATCCTCTTACTTCGATTGCGAAACCTTGCAACTACATCATGAATAAACGGTTAGTAAACTTCAATGAAATTTATAAATTTAAATAAACTAAATTAAATTGAGTTTAAATTGAAACCTCAGGGTTTATGATCAACTTTTCACGCAGTTGACTGTCGATAGAGCTTCGGGTGAAGTATTAATGTCTAGGAACACTTGAAGGAGGAATTTTGAAAGGTTTAGAAAGATGAAAAATTAAGATAAATAATAAGAGTATTAAAGAGAATATGAGCACAAAACAGTGCCTTTAACCTCGAAAGGCTACGATATATATAGAAAATAGACGGAAAAAAGATAGAAAATACACTGCTATAAGGAAAATACCATTGTGCCACTTCATCATCTGGCGCCACGCTACAATTTTGTCACGTGACGACATTTTCTGGCCCCACGCGACAGTTTTGACGCATCGCGGAAAAATTGGCCCTTCACGTCGAAAACCCAATTTTTGCGGTTTTTGTTTTTATCATGAATTTTGAGCCCAAACTTGAATTAAGACAAATAATATATTGTTGGAAAACTCTAGAAGTCTAATTTCCAATCCAATTGGAATCAGGTCAATATCTTATCTAGATCAAACGATATGGTTAAAATAGTGCAAGGATGTTGGTTTTGGGTAGAGTTTTGTATTTCGATCATATCTTTTTCGTTATAGCTCGGAATCGGGCTTATGATATATCATTGGAAATCTTATTTCAAGGGATATCCAAGTATGTAATATTTGGATAAATATTATGAGGAACAAAGATCAGATTTTCTCGTTTTCGGGATTGCGTTTTTGATAAGAGAAAAAAGGACTAATATATGTGGATTTTGGGCAAAGAAAAGTGTTTGGGCTATTGAAATGCCTAGAATGACTTACTAAATGACAGAAAATGAAAATGGAATGGATTGTTTAGCAAATATCAAGTGTCTCTTTCTTTCAATACTCTACTCGAACAAGGGGGGCTTGGTGATAATCATGGGAGATGTGACGTACCAAGGGGGGGCTTGGTAAGTAATAAGTGATTTCCCATGTTTCATGGGAATTAAAACTTCCCTTGTAACTTTCATTTCCCCCAATTTAATAATTTTTGTGTCAACCAAACAACACATGCTATATCCATTTCCTAGGATATAGAACTTCCCATGTCTTTTACTTCCGAACAAACAACACCAGAAAAGTCGAGTAAGGCTTGATTTGAGGAAGAAGTCCCATTTTGAACACAAAATTTGTTTATCAAATGGAAAAAGGATAAATAAAAGGAAATGTATTTTTGTAAATGTATCAATAATGGTGGGACTCATATTTAATAAAAAGTTGTTAATTTATTTATAATTTTTTTATTTAAATAAACTTGTATTTTTATCGGTTTGATGTAGGAATTATAATTTATACTCACTTTGTCCTATTTTTTGCTCTATTTGATTTTTCACGGTCTTTAAGACGCGTTTTAAAAAGCTTTCTGTTTCTCTATGTGTAAAAATTATAAAAAGTTGATTTTAATAAAATAGGCATTAGGCGAATCAAATAAAATCTCACATAACTATATTATTTCTTATAGCTTAATATGAATTTATAGTTTAAGCTTTTAAAATTTGGCCCAAATATATATTAGCAATGGGGCAAAAATATAGGGACAAAGAGAGTATTTTGTAAACTTGTTTAACTTATAATACTCCGTGGGTTTTCGGTGTGGGGGGATATAAAGGAAGGGGGTTCAGTTGTTTTTGGGGTGGGGGAAAGGGAGAGGGTGAATTCCGACAGTGGGGTTGGGTAGGGGAGACATTTTGGGGTGGGAGAAAGAGAGGGTGGTTTTGGGGGTGGGAGGAAAGGAAAGGGCGGATTCCAGTGGTGGAGTTGGGGAGGGGGTTCATTTCGAGGGTGGGGCTGATGGTTGGATTAGTGTTTAGCTTTTTTTTTTTTCCTTTTTTTGTTTGGGTTTTTTTTATCCCCCTTTTTTGGACTAATAGATTGGTGATATGTGGTAAATAACCTATTATAATAGGCTTGGTAACTTATTAGTTGTTAGGCCTAATATGTGTCAATATCCCAAAATTAAGATTAATTTATAATAATTTAAATTTTAAGAAAAATTGGCCAAAGTTAGGATTATTAAAAACTATTTTTTTTTTCTTTCTAAAACAAATATATAACTCTCGTTAATAGTGAACAGGAAGATTTTGTGTTAAGAGGAATAATCAAAGATTGCTTAGGAGGGTGATACCTTTGAGGATTGTATTTGGTGGATTACTCTCAAATGATGTCAAACACGAATAATAATTGATATGTATGTTAGCAAGTCTAGCTTTATGATATTAATAGAATTGTGTAGGGAATTCCATTAGATATCTTCAAAGTTTACCAACTTCCAGAACAATCTTGAATAAAACAAATGAATAGGCTAGACATTTATAGAGAATGTCATGTGCTCTTAAATAATGCCAACATTAAAAGTGTAGACTTTTGAAATTTGGACCACACTAAATCTATAAGTAATGTATATAGGCAAGGATGTTTTTCCTTGTACTTGAGTTGAATTGTACGTGAAGGTCCGATGACCTAATTTCAAAGTTGTATACCTTAAGGTTTTGTTCAGATTCAAGCGACAATAACTAATTTACTTTACAATTTAATATGCTTCAAGCTCTATTAAGATTTAAAGGTGACTTGATATCTGGTAATCTACATATACAATGTTGTTAATTATGCTAAGGTCCTTCTATTTTTGTTGCATTAATTAATGGCTGTAGGAAGGGGGTAGCGGTACTGGGAAGGGATGGATGGGGTGGTAGTTTGGAGGCAAGGAAGTGCAGTGGTGGCAACAATGCCTTGAGACATTGAGAGTGAGTTTGATTGTGTGACTATGTTGTATTTTTAATTTTGTATTTGTATAAATTAAATGTTGAAATAAAAATGTATGTTGTAACTAATTCGAAAATTTTGTAAGATAAATTTTGTTTGTTATATATAAGTTACATTTATAAGTCAAAGCCACTAAAAAGTTTTAAAAACAATACGCAACTTGGCAATAATAATATTTGACAGTTCTTAATTCAATGGTACGTATAAAATAGATAAGACTAATACGTAAGGAATGGGATAGGATCAGGTGAGATAAAATGGAGTCGAAAGAATTTAGCTCGGAAGTCGAAGCTATCTTTAGAGAAAACAAAGCTGATTATATTTTCCCAACCTAATTCAAATTAGGTTTCATTAAATCAAAAAGCATCATTGCAAAAAAAAAAAAAAAAAAAAAAATAATAATAAAAACATAGATTGATGACATTAGCTTTAGATTAGGCAGGAAATTTTTTATTATTAGATGTCAAGTGTACAATAATGATGTCAATGTATATTTTCACATCGAATTTTGACGATTTTTACAAATCATGTGGGACTTGACAAAATCGACTCAATGCATTAATTTACAAAATACCAATTTTTTACTTCCTCCGTCTCATAAATATATGTGTATTTTATATGAGAAAGATAAAAAAAAATGCAATAATTATGTGTTATTTTTAAAAACATGCACAACCTTTTGAGACACCCAAAAAGAAATACAGGCACGAAATTATGGAACGGAGAGAGTGCAATTTTTACTTAATATAGTTAATAATACATATTAATCATTAAATTTGTGTATTGACAAACGTGATAAAAGAAATATGTAACTTAAAAATAAGCCGGGAAGTTCAAAATTTAACATCCCTACACTTGGTAATTTTTGTGTATCAAATTGTCTTTTTAGGGGTGAGGTCCCTCTTTCGCCTTTTATAAAAAAAAAAAACAAATAATAAAGTTAAATTTTAACTCTACACCAAGGCACCAAACACTAAAGCCAAAAAAAAAAAAAAAAACTGATTACTCCAATAAACCACCTATCCTTAACTTAATTACTTCTTTCCAACCAAAAAAAACATAATCACTTCTTTAAATAACGCAATATAACTAGATAACAAACTAACATATCACCCATAATATTGTGCCATAACATTTTAAGATCAGAATATTAGATGAGATTACGTGACAAATTACACATATTAAAACTGATAAATAAAAGACAATTATTGCGTAATAAACATCGACTCAAAAGGTTCTACTAACTTACCAGAACATTTTTAAATCAGAGGATGAGATTAGAATGTGACAAATTACACATCAAAACTAAAAGATTAAAGACATTTATTAAGGTAGGTAACACTATTAAAAGATAGTCTACCTAGTGGAATAAAATCCTTATTGAACTTATATGAGTTGATGCTCAGACTTGCTCAACCCATAGTTCTTCAAGACCCTTGTAGCCAGCAAATGGTACCCTATCCGTGCCTTTAACAAATTTTTCCTGCATCCCCCAAAGAATAGGTATTTAACAAGCGCAAAACCAACATGACACCCTAGCTAGCATATATATGCATTCATCTAAGTCACCATTCTTCAGCCCAACATTCCAGTAATGAAAATATGCATTCAATTATATAGAATACCAGACTGAAACAGTAGGCGAAGTTAGGTTGCATTAAGAATTAAGATGGGTACTTGCCTGCTTAATCTCAGAAAGTTTGCAGAGTAAATTTTCTGGAATTGACCAATCAAAAACATCCATATTCTCCTTCAACCTTGCTTCATTTGAGGTTTTAGGCAGTACACTATGGCCCTTCTGAAGCCCCCAGCGAAGAGCTACTTGTGCAGGAGAAATTCCTAGTTCCTTTGCAACCGTAGTGATAATAGGATCAGCAAGAATCCATTTATTTTTTGCACCAGAACCTTGAGAACCCAGAGGTGAATATCCCTGAGAGACAAGAAATTTACTAGAAATTCTATTAAAATCTTTAAGCAAAACTGCAAAAGGGATACGCCAGTATACACTACAAATAGTAGCGAGACTAGTGACAAAACCACGCATGAATCAATCCCCACTCCACTCACAATAAAACAGCTTCAAAAAGTTAACCTTTTGCCAGAATTTACAGGCATATCATATTTGAAAGCACTACAAAATCATCAAATTGGGAGTTTGGGACACTTACAGATAGATGAATGCTCTTTGTTTTGCAAAATTCATGCAGCTTCTCTTGTTGCCACATAGGATGACATTCAACTTGGTTTACAGCAGGAGTAATACGGGCAGATTCAAGAAGGTTGTCTAGCATCCTTATAGAGAAATTGCTAACTCCGATGGCTCGAACCCTACTTAAATCATAGAGCGCCTCCATTGCTTTCCATGTACTAGGTATGTCTGCTGGAACGTATCTCCCAGGATTGTTACCATATAATCCTTTTTTCTCCTTTACTGGCCAGTGGATCTTTCATATAACAATAGGATCCATGAAAAGACATTAATATGATAAATCAGAATTCAAATAGATTGATTTTTTTTTTTTTTTTTTAAAGTAATTTGTCAATTAAAATAAGTTACATACAAGATATAGGTCCAAGTATTCAAGTTGAAGGTCACTCAAAGTCCTATCTAGCGCCTTTGGAACATCTTCTGGTTCATGATCAAAGTTCCTGCATAATCACATAAACCAAGTGATAAATGTTCATCCTTCATGCTAAACATAATCATCTTCTTAAATTATAACATAAAATAAATAAATAAACTGAAAAATATCTAGCCAGGCTTGAATACAAGAATATACTCAAAACAAGCCTTATAAAGTTTTAATATTCACCATAGTTTGGAGGTGATAAATAACTCATCTCGCTTCACTATCCCAACTTCAAAACAACTCCTTTAATCAAGGAAAGCATTATCATGTGAGCAAGAATGGGGGAAAAATTCAGTCAAATTGGAGTAGATATTTAAGATAAAATTAAAAAAAAAAATTAAAACAAAACAAAACAGAAGGAGACACTATAAAGAGAACAGTGAATCTTTATGGTTAAATTTTTTTAATTACCTCCTTCTCATTTCCATAGATATGTGCACAATCGATGTGTCGGTAACCCAACTGCATCAGGTAAAATAAGTGAGCTACAGCAGAATGAGCTAACATATGCTTTGACACTTAAATCACATTAAGAAGCTAATAGCTTGATAGGTACAGATCTTTATATATGAATTACTGATACATACGAAGTATATAATACAGATGGTTTAATCTACCAAGAGAAATCAAGAAGGCTCCTGCTATTTTGTTAGACAATGGGAAACCATAAGCACACTTAAATATCTGTCAAAATTTTCCATAGCCCGAGAACGTGCATTGTTAGTTTGTTACCATGCTATTTACCTATTGGTTAATTGGCCTTTCGTTTCTCATTCATGGATTCACCAAATTTACCCAAAGTGATCATGGCTTTATGGTTAATATATGGTGGAATCCACACTTAGGATTTGGCATTAAGCAAGTTAGTGTTGGAGAAATTTTTCATTGGATGATTGTGTTTCCAACTCCTTTTATCAAATCTCATTATTAATTTATATTGGTTAAATTAATTGTGAGAATAGCCCTCAATTTTTGAAGCATTAAGTTGAGCTAAAAATAATTTAAAGAATGGTTCTTGAATTAATTTTGGTTTGTGCACTAAAATTGAATTTATTTAAGTTGGACTTGTTTTATTTTCATATTGCTCAATATTGATTCTGAAAATAATTTAGAATTAATTTTTATGTCACACAAAAGAGGCACAAAGCATGCAAATCGAGGCACGAAGCCTCGAGCATAACTCTCGGCTAGCTGGGCTACTTGCGAAGTCCGCATATGGCTGCCGAGAGTGCGCAGTGTGCTTGTAAGTTGGTGTGTGCGAGCCTTGGTGCAGCAGCTTGGTGCGAAGGTGGCTTGCGTGTGGTGCGGAATGTGGCTGCTAGGCAACAAGAGCCCGCACAGCAGCATGGCCTTTGAGGCCACCACTTGCGTGTGTGCAAGCACGCTGCTAGGGACAACATAACGTGCGAGAGATGCTGTCAGCCACTAGCACGTGGCTTGGCGCAGCAGTGGCTGTGCAGGGCAGCACCCACGCATGGCAGCCCGTGGCTTGGATGCTAGGCACTCGACTGTAAAGGGCTATTAATTTTGCGGTTTTTTGTTTTAATTAAAACGAGGCTAGGCCTCGGCTTTTCTCGGCACTTGCAAGATTTTTGGCAAAAGTTTGGGTTAACCGGCTTAATTAATTTTAATTGGATTAATTTTAATTAAGTTGGATGTGGAATTTAGTGGGAGCTTCATTAATTATTTTGAGATATTATTGTTGCGTTAATTCACATAATCGGATAACAACTTTGACTAGTTTTTATTAGGCGCGTTAATTGGATTAACCACCTAAGTTAGTAACTAGTTTTGCACTCGTTTTGAATTGTTGCTTGAATTATTTACCCAAAATGGCGCGTTATTTTGTAAATTTAAATACGGACTGCGTGCCGTTAAGTATTTTTGTACTTAAATTATTTAGATTAGTCCTAGCCTTTCTAGTAGTTGCATAATTGGTGGTGATGTCTCAAAGACGGCATTTCTAAGAAGACGAGCCAAGAGGATGCAATGAAGGCCCTTGAAGATTTGAAGACTCAAGTTCAAGGGGTCATGCTAGTTGCCAAATGCATCTTTAATTAGGCTTTATATATTTTGCTTATATAATTGCGACGTTAGATGCATGTTTAGGATTTGAATGTTGAATGATTAGTTTAGTTCACTTAGATCAACCAACATAGAAAACCTAAGTCCCAAAAAAAATTGAGTTAAATCTGCCATTCCACAATGACACTTGCGGAACTAATGAGAATAGTAATGGGCTATGCCAAAGCAAGGCATTACTACTTTCCTAGGGAAGTAAGGTATGTTGATGCGCTTACCAAAGCAAGGCATCGCATACACGTTAGTTTTGGTTAGAGTCAAGGATATCAGTAAGGAGTCCTTAGATATCGTGGCAATGGAGATAAAACGTCAAGAAAGCAATAGATGCGACGTTTTATCGAACCAAGAGTAGCTTAGAGCTATTAGCAATTGGATTGCTTACCTTAAAATATTAAGTGTTAAGACAAGCCAAAGCATGCTTAATCACTTTTTGATTTTTGGGGTCTTGGAATCGTTTTATTCTCGCTTAAATGGGACAATTTTAAATGTGTAGATAAAATGGCTTAATAAGATTGAAAATTTGCATGTATGCATTAAATTTCAAACTTATTGGTTTTATGAATGATTTTTCATTGCAAATCCTTTCAATTGTAGAATCATGTTTGCAACTAATACCAACAACAACTACATGTGCCCGGAACTCTCGGAGAAGTTGGCATTTTGCCTAAATTTGGTCAACTTCAAGGAGTGGGAGAGGGAACTCCGGAAAACTCTTCGGAATTATTCCATGGAGTACATTCTTGATACTCCCATTCCAAGCTTCTACTCGAAGGGAATCATGAGTGATGATACTCATGATGCATGGTCTTCCGATTGCAAGAAAGTCTCACGACTAATGGCTAATTCCATCCCAGAAGAATGAAAGGAAAAGTTCTCCTCCTATTTTCTAGACATGGTCCTCCAAGATCTTGAGGACATTGTCAATGTGAGAGTCACCAAGAGTCTCAATGGCAATTATGATGGACTTGTGTTTGACGTGACTAGGTCACTCTCAAACATGAAGATAAAGTCACCAGACGAGGGTTGCCTTGCTAAAGAAAGGTACCGGCTTTGGTCAAGGGTCTACAATACCAAATTGAAACCTGGTATGCCCCTCCAACCTCATGTGCTTAAAATGACTAGGCTCTTCAAGAACATGGAGCTTCTCGGAATCCCATTGGAGGATGAGATGGCGGACCATATCTTGCTTGCCTCACTCCACTCGGGCTATGATGCACTTAGGATGCGTATAGCTGTTGGGAAGGAGTCACACTCATTGAGAGATCTGGTGCAGCTACTTCGCAAGGCCAACTCCTATGGAGCAACCAAAATCCCCTTGAGAGCAAAGAAGAAGGAGTTCAAGAAAAAAGCGAAGATGTGATGCTTCTATTGTGGTGGGCAAGGCCACTACAAGAGGGAATGCAAGATCTTCCAAAGGGATGAGGAAAGGAGGAATGTTCCATCCACCTCTGGTATCTTCTTAACTGCTTGTGTGTAAGCTATTCATAGGTATTAACCGCTTGTGTATAAGCTATTCATAGGTATTGGATACCATGTATGACTCACTTTATGCTCCCTTTTTCCAGGGACCAAGTGAGAGGGCTTCACAAGTGGATGTGCAACTACGAGCGGACAATGAAGATGGTCTTTCCTTCATGCTTGTAGGAACATTATTTGTCTTTGGCTTGTAATAGAACTAATTCTTGTTTTATTATATTTTGCTTACCATCGAACATATTTTTGATCTATGACATTGGACGCCGGGTTGTTTTGATACCACAAGACTATAACAATGGTTGTTTTAAATGTCTTGCTTATATGTTTTATGGGATCACACATTCTAAATGTGACTAGACAAATGTTAATGATACCACCAAAAGAGCTAAGACCATTGAATCGAATCAAACCTACTTGTGGCATTGTCGTCTTGGCCATATTAACATCAAACGCATCAAGAAACTTCTCCATGAAGGGATTCTTGATTCATTTGACTTAAAGTCGTTTGAAAACTGCGAAGGATGCTTACTAGGCAAGATGATAAAGTAGCCATTCTCCAAGTTGGGAGAAAGGGCTGGTGACTTATTAGGTCTTATACACACGGATGTATGTGGACCAATGAGCACAACCGCAAGAAATGGTTATCGCTATTTTATCACTTTCACGGACAACTTTAGTAGATATGGATATGTCTACCTTATGTCGCACAAATCTGAATCTTTTGAGAAATTCAAAGAATTTCAGAGTGAAGTGGAAAATTAGCTTAGCAAGAAAATCAAAGTACTTTGATCAAATCGAGGTGGCGAGTATTTGAGCTACGAATTCGACGATCATCTGGAAGGACATAGAATTATCTCAGAATTGACACCTCCCAGAACTTCACAATGGAATGGAGAGTCCGAAAGGAGAAATCGAACTCTGTTAGACATGGTTCGATCAATGATGGGTCTTAGCAATCTTCCTATCTCTTTCTAAGGACATGCACTTCTAACCGCGTCACTTACACTGAACGACGCTCCAACAAAAGCTGTCGAAAAGACTCCATATGAAGTATGGACGAAGAAACCTCCACGGTTGTCTTTTCTTAAGATTTGGGGTTGCGAAGCATATATCAAAAGACTCATATCTGACAAGCTTGCACCAAAATCTGACATGTGTTTCTTTGTGGGCTATCCAAAAGAAACAAAGGGGTATTACTTCTACAACTAGTCTGAGAACAGAATATTTGTTGCTCGAGATGGTGTCTTTTTGGAAAAAGAGTATCTTTTCAAAATGACAAGTGGGAGGAAAATCGAACCTGATGAAGTTCGAGAAGGTAAGAAACAAAGTCAAACTAACAAAACTGACAATCAAAGTTCTTTGGAAGCAACTGTTGAAAACGGTCAAGGTCAAAATGATAAAGCAAATGCTCAACCTATTACCCTACGTAGGTCGCAAAGGCCAAGATCTCAACCAGATAGATACCTCGGTGTTGTATTAACCGAGAATCAAGACATCCTAGTTATGAATGAAGATGAGCCAGAGACATACAAACAAGCTATGACGAGCCCAGACTCTGCAAACTGGCAAGAAGCATGAAATCTGAGATGGACTCCATGTTTGAAAATAAAGTCTAGGACTTGGTTAATTTGCCCGAAGGTTACACACCTATCGGTTGCAAATGAATTTTCAAGTTGAAACCCAACAAAGATGGAAATGTATATGTATACAAAGCTAGATTGGTGGCAAAAGGTTACAGGAAAATTCATGGCGTTGATTATGATGAAACCTTTTCGCCAGTCACCATGCTTAAGTTCGTCCGGATTATCCTAGAAATTGCCGTATATTATGATTATGAGATATGGCAAATGGACGTCAAAACCGCCTTCCTTAATGGGATTTTGTAAGAAATTGTTTACATGACACAACCGGAAGGTTTTGTAGATCCAAACAATGCTGGGAAGGTATGCAAGCTTAAGAAGTCCATTTATGGACTAAAGTAGGCAATCAAAAGTTGGAATCTGCGATTCGATGAAGCCATTACTGAGTTTGGTTTTATTTAGAATCCAGATGAGTCTTGTGTTTACAAGAAGGTCAGTGGGAGTGACATCGCATTCCTTGTATTATATGTCGATGACATATTGCTCATTGGAAACAACATTCCAATGTTAGAGTCTGTAAAGGCTTGGCTTGGAAAGTGTTTTTCAATGAAGGACTTAGGAGAGGCACAATACATATTAGGCATCAAGATCTATCAGAATAGATCTAAAAGGATGATTAGATTGAGCCAAAGTACTTATATCGATGAGGTACTAGCACAATTCAACATGGAGGAAGCCAAGAGAGGCCACCTACCCATGTCACATGGCATAACTCTCAGCAAGAAACAGTGTCCGAAGACACCTGATGAGCAAGAGAGGATGAGTCAGATTCCATATGCTTCACTTATTGGATCGATCATGTATGCCATGATATGTACTAGGCCGGATGTATCGTATGCCTTAAGTTTTACGAGCCAATACCAAAGACCCAGGAGAGGTGCATTGGACTGCGGCCAAGAATATCCTAAAGTTCCTGAAAAGGAATAAGGATATTTGGTCTATGGTGGGAGTAAGGATTTGGTTGTTGAAGGTTATAACGACACAAGCTTCCAAACTGACAGAGACGACTGCAAGTCACAAACAGGATACGTGTTTTGTCTTAATGGAGGAGCTTTCAGTTGGAAGAGTGCTAAGCAAAGCACGACTGCAGATTCTACAACTGAAGCCGAATACTTGGTAGCTTCAAAAGCAGCTAAGGAGGCAATTTGGATTCGTAAGTTCGTTGGTGAACTTGGTGTTGTCCCCTCAATAAAGGGTCCAATTTACCTCTATTATGATAATAATGGGGCTACTGCTCAGGCCAGAGGGCCAAGGGAGCATCAGAAAGTCAAATATGTCATGAGGCGATTTCACATGATAACGGAATGTAAGTCCAAGGGTGAAATCAGAATTTGCAAGATTGGAACGGACGATAACGTAGCCGATCCACTCACTAAACCTTTGCCTCAAGTGAAACACAACAAGCACGTTAAGGAAATGGGAATCAGGCACATTGGAGATTGGCTTTAATTTCCCTATTTGTGTGTTTTAATTAAGTTGTGGAGATCTTAGTGTAAAACACCATGTTAAACCTTTCATTTATGGAGTAATTTAATTTTTCTGTAAATTATTATTCCATTTTTATTTAATTGTGGTTTAGAATTAAATGATGAGTCCATTCGATTAAAACATTCAAAATAGGGTATCAAGACCATGTCTTGGATAAAGAAACACCTATTAAGTGAACGTTGAATATCATATCGAAATCATCCCTAATCGAGGCCATTTGAAAGTTGGACGACTAATGACCGCGTGAGATTAGTGTGTAGTATGATTTATAACACCGTTTCTTGTGCTACAAGGACAAAATTATCATAAATCATTTGCTCAGGTATCTGTTTGGAACTATACCGGATCGACCTATGAGAATAGTTTAAGAGATTTAGCAATCGTCATAAGTATATCACTCATTATGGCTATCGGAACCTCTTTCCTCGACCATGAGTATTGTTAGTTCTCTTGTTGAGTACTAGTCCGCTTTGATGTTGTCAAACGTCTGCCGTACAAGGGGATTATATAGGCAACAGTTGGGCGGCTAGGGCCTCTTAGTAAGGGAAGGTAACAATGCAAGACTGGGAATGTCCCCCTATTAAGAGTAGGAAACATGTCTTTGTTGTTAACAAGGCCTCTCCAAGAGCGAGAATGTGAAAAATACATGGTCGTGCTCTGATCGATTTTAGAAATCATCTGCTTATTGACAGTCGAACTCGGAAATCGAGAAGCACTTCTGGACGTAATAAGGATGACGAAGAATCTTACCTTGTAGTTCATGAAGAGACATTAAGTAACATAGGAAATAAGCTATACACATTTAGCACACTTGTCCGGAAGGGCAAGTAAGAGATTCAAAGGAATGGTGCCCTTCGAACAAGTGTATTATTCCGATAAAGGGTTCGAAATTAATTAAAAAGCTAATTATTCAGTGAGGTCAAGTGATCGGAATTCCTAGCTGGAGGCCGCTTCCGATCAGTAATATTAATGAATAATTAATATTATAGCTTAATATTGACTGAACCCTTCGGGCCATACCCAATCGTGTAATCGAACCGAAGCGACGAATTAATCCGAAGGATTAAACGAGTGAATAGATTTTTACAAACAAAGACGTCGGATTACGAACTTAGAGCGTCGTGCGTCGAGTCGATTTCAGGAATCGACGAAGACGAGAAAAATAATCAAATAATATATCGTTCTAAAATTACGAGGATAACACGAGCCCTAGCCACGCCTCGGATCGATGGCGAGTGGCTAGGGGCAGCAAGCATCGAGGCACCGAGCCACCGCAGCCCTCGCAAGGCGAGCTAGGCTGGTCGTGGCTTGCGGGGCTGGCTGGGGCTGCTTCGTGTGCATGCGCACCACAACACCCCAAGCCGGGTTGCCCAACGAGGCCAACAAGCAAGCCATGCTTGTGAGGGGCGCTGTTGGGCCTGCTATGCTGCTGCTGCTCGCCTGCGGGTGCTACTGCTGGCCTGCATGTGTGCGTGGGGCTTGCGGTGGCATCCGTAGGCTTACGGGCATGGGCTAGCATGCCTAGACTTGTGGCGCAAGGCTGGCCTTGTTGTCCAAGGTCGAGCAGCTGCCCGGGCTGACTGAGTAGGCGGGGAGGGCAAGCCTTGCTTTGCTCTCCAAGGCCAAGGTGGTCCTCCCACCTACTCCCTCTTTGTGTGATTACACTTGTCATTTGATTATTGTTTCATGGGTATTTAATTTAATTTGGAATTAAATTAAATTCTATTTTGCCTTTTTACCAACTATCCAACATTGAAAGATGATGGGATTTCAAGGGAACTATTCTCTATAAATACCAATCATTTGGCATTTGGGAAAGGCACTTGATTTGGTGAACTTTAAGGGATCTTCAAGAAGATAAAATCTTTGTTCTAATAGCTCTAAGTTATTTTTGGTCTATCCCCGACTAAGCTTCGGGGTGTGAACATTCGGAGGTTCTCGCACTTGCGGAACTTGAAGCTTTCAAGTCCGAGCTCGAGGTTGAGCGAAGCACGCTACGAGGGTGAGTATTCTTTCTCTTCTCTCTCTCTTCTCTTATGTTTATGTTTATTTTGCATGCTTTTATTTATGTTGTAATTATTATGCATGCGATCCGTTTATCGGGTTTTGTTTCCGCGCGGAATCACCGCAAAACCCAACAATACTATGCTTATGGGTCGCATAAAAGCATAGGCAAATACATTATGTTATTATCAAATAAAACTAATGTCGTCCTTGGCCGTTTGAAAATCATCTCCTATTTACCTGGAAAACAAACAAGAAATCAACCATCACTAAGTTAGTTTACGTTTATGAAATCAACAAAGAGCTAATATGCAACAGTAGATGATGAAAACATTTAAGTGAGAATAGCATGTATCATTTGAACTTCCAGTTGGTATGTTACTCTCGTAAAACAGAAAGGTTTTTCAATCATCCACATGATGTAAGTGGCAAGGAAACCCAAACCCAAGCCGTATTTGCATCCCACAAGAGCGAATTCCCATGGATGAAGATTGTCGTACCAAGATGATGGACTATCAGCTTTACCCTTGGAATCAATCATCGGCATTGGTGGGGCTCCACACTTTACACGTAATGGAAGTCCACATAATCCACGACTTCCAACGTACGAGTTTTCACCCATTGAAGTCAATTGAGTGCTTTGTGGTATTGGCCCTTCAAGCTGATTAAGTGAGACACAGAAGACTTCTAAAAATGTCAAGCTTGCTAGCTCTTGCGGAATATTTCTAGTAAGCTTGTTGTTCGAAAGATCAAGGGACTCTAAGAGTTTTAGACTCCCAAGAGATGATGGAATATGATTTGTTAAGCTATTTTGTGAAAAGTTTAGCCAACACACCATACCCAATTCTCCTAATGATTTTGGAATATCACCTTCAAATTTGTTGCTTGAAAAGTCAATGCTTACCAAGCTTACTGGGATTCTAGTAATTTGTATAGCAATACCCTTGACCTCAATTGAAACGAAATAACCTCCAAGAGTTTCTATGTACTCTGGTCTTGTCTTATCTTCTTTCTCTACATTTTTCATACCTATCATGCTTTGAAAGAACCTTTTAGATAAAATGCCAAAAAAATTGTTTATGGAAACATCAATGATTTTTAAAGCTAGAAACGGAGTCGTCGTTGTGTTCTAACTTCTAACTGAACCATATAAGTTATTGGAGCGTAGGGCAAGGACTTTTAAGTTTGGAAGTGTATCCAACCAGTGAGGGAATGCTTCATTCAGCAAATTATTTTCAAGATTTAAAATCTCCAATGATACACAGTTCGATAAAAATCTTGGCTCAAAACCTTCCAACAGATTTGAACCTAGATCCAAAGCAATCAATTTATCACAGGTTATTGCAGGAATTTTTCCTTGAAAATTATTTGAACTGATACTCAACGATTTAAGATCAGTACTCATGTTTCCCAAGAATTGGGAAATTTGACCACTAAAGTTATTGTTATTTAAATGAAGAATCTCAACTTCATTGAAGTTTCCTAAGCAATTGGGCATTTGACCACTCATGTTATTGTGACTTAATCCAAGTATCTTAAGTTGTGTGCATTTCCAAATTGACTCGTCAATCTCACCAACTAATGTGTTGTTTGAGGCATCAAGTAAAAAAAGGTTACTAAAGAACATTGGAATGGACCCTCTTAAAAAGTTATTAGAGATTACAAGAATTTCCAATTTACTCCAAGGAAGGTGCACAACACTTCCTGTTAAAGAATTGTCATTTAACATCAAATTAAATTTCTTATATACACCTTGTAACCAATTGGGAATCTCTCTGTGGATGTTATTACCTGATAAATCCAACCACTTCAAATTTTAACAACACTCAAAGAAGGGAATGTACTAATATTGCAAGATTTGAGACTTAATGTTTGAAGCTTAGGCAAATTTAAGGTGGAATTGATTTCTTGAGCGCTAGGGATTGTCACTGATGTACCTGATATGTCTAAATAACTCAAGTTTATGAACTTTGAAAATTCATTAAGCTTAACATTGCCACTGATATTTATTGGATCCCCAAGATACAAAACCTTAATGAACGGGAAAGACTAGATGGAAAGTTTGTAGTAAGATAATTCGATGAAAGACTAATAACTTCTGAGGTATTCCACACCCATGCTAGTATAGCCCCGTACAAATAGCATAGCGATATTTCTAATCATCTCAAATGAGGTAATGGAGTACCAAAGGTAGATAAAAATTGGCTAGAGATATTTATGTATGAAAGGGGATAAAACTTCTAAGGACTTACTCCAATTACCTATTGGTGTATTAATTTGTAGGTCAAAATTAACACTTAGGTCCAGAACTTGCAATTTTGGAAGACTAAAGATGTTGGAAGGAATTTTTCCCTTATAATCCACATGTACTAAATGATAGATATGAGATAGAAGATCTATTTCCTAATGATTGAGGTATATCAGAGTTGATCCTAACTTCCTTAAGTTGAATATATGTTAAAACAGTAAGATTTTCAAAGATCACTTTGAAATTCATCATCATGAGATGATGATTAAAAGAAAAATCAAGGGATCCCAATTAATGAAGATAGTCGATTTCGAAGGGAACCATACCTCGAAATTTTGAGTGAGATAGATTAAGCTTGGTTAAATGATGGAATCCACAATGGAGCAAAGGATATTTATAGTTTACCTTATAAACCGTACTACCAAATGCTTCTTGCTTCCTACCAAACTTACAACAATGATGCTAATATTATTCTTATTCCACTATTGCTTACATACAATAGTAGCTTGAGTGCACACAAGTAAACTACCACTTAATGCGATCATGCTATTCTACGCGCTAGTGTGTATTAGGGAATAGCTTCGAGTTTGCAAGAGAGCAACGAAAATAGAGGCTAATATTTCCAATAGAGTTACTTCACTATGATTGGACATACATGGACTATTAGCTTAATGCGATCATGCTATTCTATGCGCCAGTGTGGGTATGTGAAATTAACATTTTCCAGGTAGGGCAATTTTTGTGTGGGTATGTGAAATTAACATTTTCTATAGAATATTCGCTTTTATTATTGTTTGAATAGGTGGGTGTTTTGAGCTTTTTTCTAGGTTAGGAACTGTTAATATGTGGCAAAGAATTGTAGGTACAGTGGTATGGTATGAAACTAAGATTTAGGGGTATAAGGATTTATTGGTTTGAAGAGAAGGAAGGTGGGAGTGCTTCCTTTGGAAAATGTCTGGTGGTGGTTCTAATGACTACAAGTACTATGCTCATTATACTATTAATTTGATGATTTATGTTAAAATGATACTTCGTAGGTGCAGGTGAAAGGGAGAGTGATGAATGATGAAAGATGATTGAGAGGTTTTGAGTTTAAATTTAGATTTTTTAAATATGTTTTTGGGTTTTTATTTACTCTATTTTCCTGAATTCGATTGTGTGTTGATTTTCTAGAGGATGAACGTCCAAGCTGTCGTATAGAACACACCAAGAGACGATTTGTTCTTAAGGGTGAAGGTATTTTTGGATTTAGTTAGTGGTCCTTATTGATTTCTTTAGCTATCACTTTAAACAAATCATAAAATATACTGTGTTTGAACTCGATGGTAAAGTGAGACTTCTTGTTCACATTAATATAATACACTCCACCAATCACATTATTCACAAATAATTAGTGGTGCTTATTGATTTCTTGTTCACAAATAATTAGTGGTCCTTATTGATTTGTTGTTCACAAATAATTATATATATCTTTAAAAAAAACTGTAATATAATACACTCCACCAATCACATTTTAAAAAAAATATATATAAAAAAAAAAAACATGTTTCATGGTATGTAATAAATAATAGGAGTACAGTTTATAAAAGTAAAAATAAAAAATATAATTGATCATATATTAGTTAGTTATTCTTTCAAAAAAAAAAAAAAGTTTTCTAACTTTAAAAATAAAAACATAGGTTATCATTTACTAAAATAAAATTATAACTATTTTTTGCATTAAATACTAAATGATAATATGAGAGGCTATGCCCCGAAAAAATAAACAAGCTAACCATAAAGAATAAATAAATAAAGAAAAGGGAGGAATAATAAAACGGCACACCTACAACTTACGACCTAATGTTTGCATAAAAAAACAACTTACGACCAATGGGTAATGGGGGACTTAAATCAACTAAATCTTGTTGTTTTGACTAACTCATTGGTTGGCTAACCAATCAATTGCACGGTTTGTTTCTCTAATAATGTGTTGAACTTCAATTTGACTTATTGGATCCTCTATCGCGTCCCTATACAATGTGCTACAATCTGTGTTATCCATTTCAGCATATAATTCTGATACCCCCATCATTTTAAAAAATTATGGTAGTCAAAAGTCATAAGACTACGTTAGAATTTTCACCCATCCTTAGTGCAAGCTCTAAGCCATACTCTACTGCTTTAACTTTTTCTTTGAAAGAACAAGACGGTCAAGACCCTGCCTTAAGGGAGAAGCCATAGCACACATTCTTCCAGTGCAATCTCGTATAATTCCGGCTGGTCCAGGAGAGCCCTTTAGCAGCTAGCTCAATCAGAGTTAAGGGCAAACCGGCCATGAGAGCGAGCAATCCATTTGATATATGCTTCTCTACAAATCTTGCTAGCACGAATTGCCTCACGTCAACAGGAAATACCAAATACCTTTTTTAAGAAATATTAAGTTCCTTTCTAGCTAACTTGCGTTCTGTTTGTGATTCCCATGATTTTTGTAGCTTCTGTCACCTTTTTTTTTACCACTTTCTTAATTCTTGTATATCTCACATGTTGCAAAAATTTTATTTTTTGTACGGAGGAAGTAGTATATAAAGAACACATTGACAGCATCATGATGTGCTAACTGCTAATCCAAAAAATAAACAACAATCAGAGTCATATGAGGAGAGATTTGACTGAAAAATCACATCAAATTAACTAGTTTCAAAGCACATATATCAGTCACTATGTTAAACAAACACACTTAAAAGTTCTTTTATTAAATGTTCTCAAAACAACTTACAAGCAAAGAATTAGACTTATAAAAATGTCCAGAAATATCTTTACTACTGGCTACATCTAACAGAGAAGTATGTGTAAAGAATTTTACCATCTACGACTACGACACTGATTTTCTCTTCAAAGACATGCTAGACATTTACTCTCAACTCAATCAATTTGCATATCCGTAACTTCATGCCGCTGCTCAGTCACATGAAAAACTGTGCTGACCTCGCGCTTCTCACTTGTTATCTGAAGTAATTTCATCTGGGAACCATCTGAAGAACTCAGTTCTGTTTTCAGTTTTTTCCATAAGTGCAGAAACCAGTGAAAATTCTGCATCAGACATTCTTGCTGACAACCCTTCTTTCTCCATGACTTCTTGAGTTGTATCATTGACCGGGAAATCAAATTTAATCGGCTCTTCACCAGCAATAAACAAAGTCATCTCAAAAGGACCAATCTCCAAAGATTTCCCTTTGATTCTAAAAGGCCTAGGTTCATTCATACTCAGACTACTACTTGCTTCTACGGAGCTAGAAACACTCGGTTGAAGAAACGGGTCATTCAAGAGTTCAAGTGCTGTGGGTCTGTCAGATGCAGGATTCAGACACTTCTCAATGAATCTCTTAATCTCAGAGTCTGTCACTTTGCTTAATGCGTCAGGCATTTTACGATTCCCAACCCTTCCAAGAATCTGATACTTGTTTCCGCATTCTCTATATGGTGTTTCCCGAGTAACCATCTGAAGCACGCACATCCCAAACGAGTGAATGTCAATCAGCTCATTATAATAATCTTCTTCAAGAACTTCTGGTGCCATGAACTGAGGTGTGCTAAAAAAAGTCGGCATTTTATCCCCCTGCTCAAAAATCCACGCGAAACCCAATTCTCCAATCTTCACCCTGTCAAAGCTTCCATCAAAACATATTTTATCACAGTTAAGATCGCGATGAATGATCTTGGGATCATGTCTGTGAAGATGGTCCAACCCTTTAAGAATCTGTGTACACCAATTCTTGATCGCGTTTATATCAGTAACATCATGTTTCCTGACATAATCTCCAATATTCCCCAAAGGAAAAGACTCAGCAATCATGTTAATATAAAGCTTGTCATCACCAATCCAAACATTGAAGCAACTCACAATATGATCATGCCTCAATGAATTCAACAGTTGAGGTTCTGCACACAAACGCTGGAGCAAGTTCTTACTTGACATTTCCTCTGTTATTTCTACCTTACTCCAAGCAATTTCCTTATCATTAGCACTATCTAAGCCCTTGTAAACTTTGTTTTTATCATCTTTTCTTATGATCGTATCGTACCTCTTGTATCGCCCACTCAGATCTGTCTCAACAACTACATCATTACTTGAAGAAGCCATAACTAACAACAATACAGAATCAGAAAAATGATTTAGGTTTGAAAAGGGATGATTCAAACTGTGTTTTGATGATTTTTTATGGAGCTTTGGATTCAGTAATGTACGCTAGTATGTATATTGATGAAAATTTTGTAGGATG